TCCTACATGTTACACACATAATTTTTAGCAAAACAATAATAAGATGGGTGGCGCAAAGCGCCACCCATCGCACTAGTTATTATAGTGATAATCATACTATAATTCCTTATATTTGATTAACTCATACGAGGAAAGATCACTAAAATGAAAAGCTGCCCAGAAATGGTTGTATGTATTGACCGGTAAAATCGTCATCCAAAAAATTTCGAACATAATATAATATTGTAGTAAGTGATTTTTTTTCTTCGATTCTTTAAAGTAAAAAGCGAAAGTTAAAAGCATAAAATCCAATAAACACACTATTCCAAAAAATAGATGTTAATTGCCGCAAACAAATTTCCATGAATAATAAACGAAAAAAGAATGAAAATCGAAATAAAATTATAAAAATTAAGAAAATGCAATTGAACAAGAAAATCTTGTAGACTTGATTTTTTATGCGCTTCCAGAAGATTATAACTTTATTTATTTGAATCCATGACGCAGCAACAAAAAATTATTGAAGAAAACAAATAGTAACAAATGGCTCGATAGTATTAAAAGGCAATGGAATATTCCAAATACTTAGAAAAACCGTAATAATAATACTTTCTAGCTATAATAAATATTACGTTTATTGAGTTATTCGAAATAAAATGATTAATTTATTACTTATTGTTATTATTTTGTTAGGTCTAAAATTTTTTAAGTTACATGAATTTTTAGTGCTCGATATATTTGACACGTGAAGTTCGAAACCTTTTTGGGAGGCGATTTTACCCGGTCACCTGTATTTGCTAAATAATTGCCTAGATCCGATAAAAAATATTTGATTAGCATCAAAGATGTTGTTATAGATAAACAATATAAGTTTTTTAGTTAGCATTTTTATTACAATCATGGTAAATTTTGTTAATCATTTAATTAAATCAAAATTGTTGTATGATAAATATCTATGAATAAGTTCGTTTAAATATATTAAAAAGTTTTTATTATTGTATAGTTATTAAATAATGATCCTAAATAGAATGTATTATATGCAATGAATATTTACGAATTTGAATAGACTGTTTCAAATGTGTCAATTAATGAGAATAAATAAACCTAAATATTATTGAGCTTGCTTTAAACTTGGAATAAATGTCGGTGAGATGGCTTTCAATGAAACGAGGTACAAATATTGGTATATGACATTTGTATATACCTGCTAAATTAACGCGATATTGTGTGATAGAAAACACCTAAACAGTAAAGAGTAAATATTGCTAAACTCGAATAATTATATTAAATACATGGATAAATGAATAAATAAATAAATAATACTTAATTACTAAAATAGATTATTAACCATTACTTGTAGTTTAAATATATAGATCCAATATTAATAAATCTAAGAAATTGAATTTTCCAAGTAAAATACTTAGATCTTCAAACATGTTATTCACGAAAAAAAAGAATTTTGCATTTACACGTTAAGGGTATTATAACACCTGATTTTAAATGTGATTGGATTGAAGTTAGTTAGATCTTATACAAACAAGCCTAGTATGGATTTGTACAACACTTTCATGTACCAGGAACGAATGCAATGAGTGTAACTCATTGAGTGAGATGATTTACAGGTTTTCCCTTTTCGTCACTTATATGATGGAAGATCTTCGGAGTATGTGTCTTCGTAGTATGTATCTAGAATGATGTCTTACTACATAATAATTATCCTTTTAAACTAATTTTCTACAATTATTCATAATTAACCGTACATACTGATACCCTTTTTCTACATTTTACTAAACTCGTTTTAACTGTAAACCCACGAGGCTATCTAAAATAACCATCTTCAAAACATGACGTTTTAACCAAATAAAAATCCTATAAAAAATAAATTCTATTCCAATCGCGCATACATGCAAATGTCAATAAATACATATTTATTAAATGTGCATGGTACATAAAATAATAATCACAATAATAATACCTATACAATAATAATAATTAAATATACAACTTATAAATCAAACACATCATTTATCTCTTTTACGCAATATACATACAATAATCCAAAATGTGCATTTACTAAAATTTAAACTTTAACCTTGCTATTATATAATCATACAACGTTCCTGGTTTTAGCGCGAATACGTCGTGCAGCTAGCCTAATTTCGTATAGCCATACATATTATTTCATTTCGTTCTTGGTGTAGTAAATAGGTTGCGTGTTTTTAACCACTATTAAATAGAATTTCCCTAAATCAGTTATTCATTTGACTTCATATAAAAAGAAAATAACGTTTTTTGTTTAATAATAATAACAGTTTAAGCAACTATAATGTTGATTATGATCATCAAAAATCATAATTTTTTAAATTTGAACCAATTAGAATAGTTTGTTTTGGAAAAGATCGACGTTAAAAAATTAGAATCAACAGGGTGTTATATATCAACAGTAATCAAATCAGCAGCGTGCTACATCAGCCCAATACATATTTATGCATACAAATGGAATTAAGGAAGATGTCAGTTTTATTGATTATGAAATCCCTATTCAAGTCAATTTGAGATTTACATAATCAATAAATCATTTTATCATTTTATTTATGTAATGGGGGGAACCGTTGATGTTACACGACTGATTCTTCACCCGGTGTGCAACATATTTTACAATACATTTTATTATAATAAAAATGGTGTGGGATTATAATCATAACATGTACTAGCAGTATTGTAAAATAATTTATTTATATGTTGCACGCCGGGTGAAGGATCATTCGTGTAACATCGACGTTTCCTCACTTTAAATCATTGTGTTATACCTATCACAAAAGGGTGTACTTGGGCATTTAATTTTGTATGAAAGTTTTTTTTTAGAGATATCGTTTATAGAAAAGTTCGAAAGTGAAATCCAAGTTAATAAAGATATAAATAAGACTTGGCGGTTTGTCAAAAAAAAATTGAAAATAAAAAATAGTGCATTTTTTCCCGACATTAACTATTATCCTACAAATCTTTATTTTTGTTTCATCAACTTGACAATAATCTCTTTGTGACAATAATTTCTTTAAAAAATATCATTTATTTACGAAATAACAATGAGATTCATGATCACTATCTTTGCTCTTTTGGCATCTATTGCTATCCTCACTCAAGCATCTCCTGTTCCAGAAAAAGAAGGTAAATAACTTGATGATTCCGTTTATTAAACCTATTGCACTTACTAATTTCAAAGAAATAATCACTGAAACGTGGCTTAACTTTTTATATTCATAGTTCATCTTTCTATTCCTCATCTCATTGCTGAAAAGGGTAAATTACTTAATTATTACATTTATTAAGCCTATTATTGAACTTAAAAGATAAAAATTACTGAAACATACATAACCTTTTTATATTCATAGTTATACCAGATTATCAAGATCCACATAAGATATTCAAAAAAGAATATGCTGAGGCTATGTTCGATTTAAGAACTTGCATAAAGGCATGTGAGAAAGCATTAGGTAAAGGAGTTTCGGATAAGGTTCAAAATCGCATTAATGACATTATTAAAGGTGCTGATAATATGGAAGGCGTTGCAATTGATTTTATAATATCCAGATTGTGATAGTGCACCAATTTTGCCACAACGCATTTGCATTACACTTTATATTAATTTATTAATTTTAGTATTTATAATTGTTATACTGTAATTGGTTTTAACGTATTGAGAGCCGCAGTAAAGCGGCCAAAAAAAATGTTTTTAAAAAAATCAATTCCTTGAGGAATTAGTGTAAGAGGAATCTAATTTTTTTTTATAAATTATGAAATAAAATTTTTTGGCATATTGTCTTTTTGCTATATATAAGAGTTCCTATATATTATTAACTTTATTATTACGGTATGTTAGCGAAATTAAGCAAAATTTGGTATCAAATTTAGATTTTTGTTTCTAAATTATATATTAATCAATCAATGTACGCCCTAAAACAAATTTTCAGACCCCTGTTCTATGAGATCCAAAAACGTGACTGATATCACGTGTCATAGATCCCGAATGTCAGCTATGTCAGATATATTTGATATATCTGACATATCTAATATATTGCCTATATCGCATAAGTGTGATATATTAGATATATGCGATATATATGATAAATTAGGAATGTCCGATATACTAGACAAATTATAAATAAAGGGCAATTCGCCCAGGCTAAAGGCCAGTGATTACAATTGCGAAATATAAACTACCTACCCGACCCCTAATAAAAGTGAAAGTGTTATCCTATAAAAACCAGTAACTATCGTTAAACCCCAGTACTAACACTACCCGCTACCCCAAAAACAACTAAACGCGGAATCTACGGACATTGCTTAGGGACAGTGCAATCACATGATATAATATGAAAATCCTCTCCCCTAACCGCTAAATAACCAATCCTTAAACACGTGATTTTGCACTGTCCCTAAGCACTGTCCATAGATTTCCTGACAACTAAACCTGTAATTGATCGTTTGCCATAGTCACGTGCCAGTAAACTTTAATGAAAGAGAAGAGCTCCAACCCCGATTGAGACAATAGAGAAGGTAAGAATTAGAACAAGAGTAGGTTGAAAAAAAGACTCAACAGAGAAGAGACCAGTACTTACCTACAGATGATAATCCGCTCGTCAAATCTAACACACCTGTTTCGATTTAGCTGCTGTAGGTAACATGAGAGTTGACTTAGTTTAACAACAGACTCACCGATTTCTGAGACAACAATATCAATAATGAGTCCAACCCATTTTCCTCACAAGCTAACCTATTTTCCCACCCTGATGCATCTCATTAGACATAAGAATTTATTAACATGACGCATCATAACTTAGGGAATGTTGATTATCTAAGTAAAATCTATATTTACATATTAGTGATCAAAATTCTAAATTTTGGGCTATTTCACAAATGTGTCATAATGTATAACATTCACCAGCCCTATTGTAATACTTTATTTAAAATTTTATTTAAACCTTTAAAAATATAATATAATACAGTATGTTTTCTCCAAACTATCTTAGCTTAAATCTAATTTAAGATAATTAGTAAATAGCATTTATAGGAAGTGGAGATGTATTGTCACATTGGGTGCCTTTTAATAGCACAATTGTAGTTAGAAATCTTTAATTTTAAAATTTTTTGTTTTTATTATATGTAATAAAGTTTCTACTCTGACATTATTGAAATAATAATAAATATAAAATAATAATAATAATAAAATAATAATAATATAAATGCTGTCAGTGAAAACCTAACATTCTAAAAATAGATTTCCATGAATAATGAAATATAGGATTTTATTTTATTTTATTTTATTATTATTATTTTTTTTTATTAAGGTGACCTCTTTGGTCTTTTGATTTTTATTAATCACTTATCAGTATTGTGATTCAATAAACCACTACAGAAGAGTGTACAATTGGCTATATGTGTAACTTTTTTATATTACCTATTTAAGGAGTCCACCTGAAGGTTTCCTACCAATTGCTATACCTAACACCCCTGCTTGGATGTTCCACTTTAAACACTCTGAACCTGTAATCCATGTTAACATCACTGATCATCTCAGATGCCCAGATCATCATTCTTAACCTTAGGACTAATTTATCCTTGAGATAAACCTTTCAGAGTCTTTTGTACCCATTTTTATAACTGACCTAGGTATTGCTATGGCAGAACTAACACTTGTGGTCAGAGCTAACCATTAAACCACTATACCTTGTAGAGTTCACTTAGACCCCAGCATCTACTTTACAGCATAACTCCAGTACTTTAGTATACTCCTACCTTTTGTCCAGCCTTTTTACCAAACTCTCAATCCAGATAGCTCATGTAGGACTATGACTAGTTCATCAGTATATTGGGTTGGCCCAATATTCTTTTCCTTTAGTTCATTCTAGCAGCCTAGTTGGTGGTAGCCCCGAGACTCCCAACCCAAAGGTTCTTGTCTGTTTGGTTACTATGACTGGGTACTATGACCTTGATATCTGTTTCCTCAGGCTAGTCTTTACAGTAGGGCCATTGAAGATCCAGCTACCTCTCTACTTGGGTCTTCCCAAATAGATCTTGTTACCCAATTTCAACAGATTTATATAGACACAAGAACTTATCTAATGTTTGCACTACCCGATTTGTTAGTTTGCATTTCTTTATGTAATGCTATACTTATACAGATGCCTTATGACCTGCCAGTTATGCTGATACAACTGCCATTACAGATATCCTAATCCAATCATTAGTAACAGTTGCTGTAATATAAATATTACATAGGTGATTATCCAAATCTTTATTATTGATGAAATTTGAACATCCAAACTACTACTTGGGAGGTTGACAACCTGACCACTTCACTATGTCACTACATCCCAATATAGGATTTTAACTAATCTGACTAGAATAATGATTATATTGTTTTTTTAATCATTAAATATGATGATTTATAGAATTGTTAATAGTTTTTAATCTATTTATTTATTTAAAACAATTTAACTACCAAAATGATTGTAGCAATGAAATAATTAAAAAGAATCTAAAATTATTAAAAACTAATTACAAGATTCTGAGATTTTTTAAACTTTATACAATTTTAATTAGAATTTTACTATATAAACAATTAACTTAGAAATAGGTTACTTATATAAATTATATAAATAACCAATTTCTAAGTTGATTGTCTATATAATAAAATTTTAATTAAAATTATATAAAATTTGAAAAATATTAGGATCCTATAATTGGATTTTAATTATCTTATTAAGACAAATATTTGGTAGTTAAATTATCTTAAATAAATTAATAGATTTAATGTTATTAACAATTCTATTGACATGACTGAAATGACAAGTTAGTTGCTTTTTAATAAGATATGTCATATAATTTACAAATTACTTAGTTAATAAGTGACAGTTATATTTAGTTAATGTAAATATTTATTATCATAGATATTATAAAAAAAGCAAGATTTTATTATTATAAACAGAATTTTATATTAATTATAAATAATGAATTTTTATTTATAGGGCTTAAAGCTTTTATTATATACTTTCTTTTATATAAGTATATTATATATTCTATTTATAATATAGTACTTAAATTTATTATTCTATATATATTAATTATAATGTTTATACTTATTATACTGATTATAATGTTTATACTAATTATTTTAATTAAAATTTTGATTTTACTAATATCTATTATTAACCCATATCAGTGAATTTACAGAATTGGTCCTAAATTGATCCTAAATTGTATTCTTAAAGTTATCTTTAAAATGAATACTAAATTTTATAACAAACAATATATGATTGATATACGTAGATATATATAAAATAATTTAAAAAGTAAATAGATACATACATATAATTATACATATATAGTATTTATATAATATTGAATTGTTATCTCTTAATTTATTGACAAAAAGGTTATATATATCAAACTAAAATTATATTTATAATTGACTTAATTGTTAATTATATGTGATTTAATTATATAAAATTTATA